TGTTATGAATCAAACCAAAAAATACTCTACAGACTATTCCTGCACCTTCCATGAGCAAAAGAAATGGCTTGTTCTTACTTTATATGCAAAGTGCAGACTGCAAAAGCATTTCAAAACAGAGTACAAAATTCAAAAGAAAAATGTCTTTGAAATTAAAACAAAGCTTCAGAATCACATACATTAGTTAAATACTGTTTTTCAACTGGGTCTGAGGTCTGTATTATTTTCAGTGAATCTGGCCTTTTCAAACTCTTTATAGTAAATCAGCCCCCTTTCCGCTGCTCAACTGAGACTTTATTTAAGGACTTGAATCAATAATTAGGTCTATCATCCCAATGGAATCTTGAACAAAGGCTTAATTTTTTATGAGGGGAATGAAGGCGCTGCTGCCTGCCTCAGGGTAAGAAATCAATGACTCAGCAATGGGCAGATGAAAGCAGATTGGTTTTAATCTTTTAATCCATACTATGCATATATTAAAGAGAAGTCTTTGTGACGTGTGTAGTTTCTATACTATACAATGTTTATGCTTGTTTTATGTATGAAGTTGTGAATGTCGAGGGAATAAACTTTACTTAACAATGAGCTACAAAAGTTAGAATCAGATTTTAAAATTTGTAATTCAGGAAGTTCGGATCAGAAAAGAAATTGCTTTTAACCCAAATGTAAGATAAAATGAAGGATCATTTTTCATTTAATAGTGCAAGATTTTTATTTTATTGTTACAAGGGTTTACTAATTACCAAAATATTCTATTAGCTATTCATCTTCATGTATGCCTCAAAGACAAAATTACACAAAGCTCCCACCAGTCTTCATTTACATTGGCTCAGAACTTTATTCTTAGTGAGACTTGCAGCAATGGATTTTGTACAGTTTTAGGGAGTACTGTTGAAACCTTGGATTTAAAATAATTGGAGACATTTCTTAAAACTGGACTTGTGCAAGTGCCTGAGCTCCAATACCAACATTTGGATTTGGATCTCTGGCTACAAGCTATGCACAATATACTGTCATCATTTTCAGTGCTCATCATTTTTCTTTGCTTTTCTCTCCTTTTCCCTATTAATCAGTCGTCATGCAAAACAATGGAAGATAGTTACATAGAGTAAAAGCCCTGTTATCTAGCATGAGTGGGGAATGGGGGGTGCCAGGTATCTAAAAATTCTGGTAACCCGAGGCCAGAGGTTTTTGGTAGGAAGTGGAATGGGGATGGGGGGGTGGGGTGGCACCTGGATGCGGAATGGCGGCAGTGCAGGGGGGTGGGTTTCTCCACCTCCCCCCCACCCCATGTCGGGCCAGCTGGCCAGAAATTCCAGTTAATAGAGTAGCTGGTATAATGCTGGAGAGTAGGGCTTTTACTGTATTAAAAAGATGGTTCAATATATTTTTTGAAATACCCAATTTAAAAAAAGGTGCTTTTAGTTTTTATGATAACTTGTCTTTGGACCACTTCAATGTTCTTTGTGACGATACAGCATGCACACAGTCGCTATCCATCCCTCATTACTATTTAGCTCTTGAAGTATGTATGCTTTATTTAAAAGATATCTGCAAGATGATACAAATCTCAGAAGGACTACTTGATACTTTGGCACCTTAAAACTAACTCAGACCCTCACCCCAAACCTTCCTCATCATTTCATGCATGTCCATTTTTCTGTACACTAGTTGGTCCACAAAATCAACTCTACAGATAATCCAAATAAAAAAATACTGATGTTTTGACCCATCTCCAAAAGAGTTGATTGACAGCCAATTAAATAGCATTATAACAAAGCATTCACTTGAAAAAGAGTTATGGGTTTGATTAAAAAAATTCTTACCTTGAGAAACAAAGCTCCCTTAGAAGCCAAGGAGTCTGTTCCTTTTCCATTGGGGTAACAGTGATAGGTAGCATCCATAACTGGATAGCGGCTAGCAAAAAGCAAGCCACTGTTTACAAACTTAAAGCTACAGCAGCCATGGCAACTATAGACCCCAACATCATACAGAATGTATTCAAAATAGTGATGGAGCTGCTCTTTCAATTTCTCTGCTGCTCTTTTGTCAAATACTTCCTGCAAACACAGGAAGTCCAAGTTGGCAGGGAAGAAAGCCGAGATCTCATGGTCAAAGGCCTCATCCATATGCTTCTTTTTCCTCACAGAAGTCTTCTTCATGATTGAGGCTTTGTAAAGAAGCTTGTTATTAATGCTGCTTTGGTCCACTGTGCCATCTCCAATACGAACCTTAACTAGGGACTCTCGTGAGGCAGTGTAGCTGTCTAAACTCCCAGAATCTCCATCTTTTTGTTTATGGTTGGGTGCTTGACCCTTTGGGCTCTCTGAGTCACCCTCTGATGAGTGGTCTGCAGGTCCACTGTTATTTGGCTGGCTACTAACAGTATCCACATCTGGGTCTGAAATATGACCATTATCCTCTCCACTTATGCGTACTATACATGTGTTATTGTCCTCTCCTTCACTTGGTTCTCCTGCTCCACTTTTAGCATCTCTGCCATCTTCACTGTTGTTTGAAGCAGAATTGTCTCCTTTATACTCCATAGATGTTGTCCTTTTGATGCCCACATTAACTGCACGGTTAGTGCCATCTCCACTTTGGGGAGAGACCAAACTGCTAAAACTTGCTGCGCTGATGGATGTGTTAGTAGGAGAATCTATATATATTTTGATCTGTGGTCTGCTTGCCCCATTTCGTATCCTTCGTCCAATTTCTTTAGCCCGTGCCTGTGTATTGAAAACATTATTAAACCTTGCCAGGGAGTCTGGTAGCAGGCAAACGTTGGCACTGCCAAAGCAGAAACTTTTCCCATTGCTGGTAGCTTTCCATTCAGTGAGTAGTGTAGCTCCATTGACCTGGTTCTTGTCTTCTAGCCTAGAGTAAATATATGGCCTTCTGGCTGACTGGAGAGGTGACCATAACAAGAAACCAATCAGGGCAAAAGGAAGAGATGCCACCAGAAGTGCCAGGTAGATGGGAGTAGTGATGATGATACAGAGTGCATGAAAGTAGCAGGGGTCATCTGCCCTTTGACGTTTCTCATAGCTGGTTGGAACAAAAGAGGCTACAAGCCTGTCTGCAAACCAATAGCATGGGAAAATCAGGCCCCAAGAAAAGGAATGCAGACCTGACAGAAAGCTGTTGGGAAATGGGGAAGTGTATAAAACCATTGCAACTGTTATGACAACACTTCAGGGCCTACTACATGATGTCGCGGTCAACCATTCATCAGAACATTGGGGTAGGGATCAGGAAAAAAAATCCAGCCAATAGTTTGTCTTGCTAACAATACTCAACAGTATCAGCTTAAGAGCACCATTTCAATGGGTTGGAGTAAGAGGAAAACAAGGCCACTGTTTCTGGCTGGCTTTTTGGCATCTATATTCTTCAGAAAATTTCATTGCTCACAGCAGGCTGCCATAATGAATTTCTGATGGAGGCAGAAGGAAAACCTGTAGAGACACAAAAACCCCAAAACATAACAATATAATTAACAATAACTTAAGGTTTTAAGCATGTCTTTCACTTCACACCAGCTTCAGTTTGAAATCCAGATATTTTCCTACAGTAAATAGAATGTTTTTTGTTGTAGCTTAATTTTAAATGTCATTTTAATGTCTGTTAAAAATCACTGAATGAAATCTGTTCTCAGGGTATGGCCATAAACTAATTATGAGTTAAAAGTATGGGTTTATGCTGGGATTTACTATGTATCAGCTGCTCTGCAGTAACTTTTTTTTGGTGTATCTGCTTTTCTCCCACTGAAAAAAGGAAACTGAACTACAGTAAGCTTAACCCTGTTTCATACTGAGCTAAGCTAACTTCATTTAGATGTCACAGTTACTGCAGACCTGCTGACTGACACACAGTAGGTCCTTCCCTCCCCCTTAGCTCTTTATAATTTAGTTATTCTATCCCCATTCTGCTTTCCACAGTATAAATCTGGAGTAACACCACTGACTTCAGGGGTCTTGTACCTCTATAATTAAAATCCAAGTGTGATCAATTTCACTTAAGTGAGTTGAAGATTGTCCTGAAAAATTCTGTTATAAATTTAAAATCTTAAACCGAGCACTGTGGAAGCAGGTCTTTTAGATTTTATAATGTCCTTGAGTCTTCACTCCTATCTACATGTGATGCTATACTGCTGTAGCAATGCACTACGGTGACATAGCATCCATGGGTGTTTACATGTGACCAATAGCAACTTCACTATAGTAGTATGCTCCCCTGTTATAGCTTGCCACTATGGTGAAGTGGCTGCTTAAAAACAACACTGCACTGCATGTACAGCACAGTATGGGCAGTTACTGCACCATGCTTTAGTACTTAAAAAAGGAAATACTAAAGCACAGTGCAGTAACAACCTAACCATAGGCTTTCAACCTTTTTTAATAAGTGTACCCCTGGTGGACAGATGCGGAGTGGCATGGGGTGGTGGGCAGAGGCGCTCCATCCCTGCCTGCCTGTGTGTACCCTAGGGCCTTCCCAAGTATCCCCAGGGGTATGCATATCCCCAGTTGACAACTCCTGCCATAGGGCAGCATGTAAATGTGCCCAGTACTAACAAAATACACTGAATCTACATGAGTGTATTTAAGCAATTATATAAATTAACACGTATTCATTCAAACCCTTGTGTTTTATCATGTAAAAATAACATTTTTCTGATATGATTTGTGGCAAGCTGAATTTCAATTAAATTTAGTTAAAATGCATAAAGCAATATTTTAAAAATATTTCCTATTAAGTAAAACTATCACATGTGCAGAATGCATAATAAGGTTGATCAAAGCATGCTTTGCATTTTAAACTGATTTACTTAACAAATAAGTATTATTATCTGTGGTAAACATGAACTGGTTATTTCTAGCCACCACCACCTCCAAATTCTAGAGCCAGTAGAACTCATCCTCTCAAATGTAATTTTCATTTATATATTGGAAAATGAAAACAAATAGTCTTGCTTTTTGAATTCCCAATATTTTCTCAACTTAAAATAAAATAGTCATTAAACTGATTTCCTGAATAAACTGAAATGAAGAAGTGTTCCTTATGCCCCTGCAAAAGAGGTAATGGCCCTCAAAACCTGGTTTGCACTTAAGCAAAGTCTGATTTTTAGGTGTCTAACCAGTGACGTTCAACCAGTGATCTGATTTTCTATAAAATTTAATCTGTAAGTCTGTACTGTTTACATATATGTTTTAAGTCAATTGAAATTACAGTAAAAGTCTGGACCAAGCATAGGCTTTAATTTAAAATTAAATTTGTAATGAAAATTTATATAGGTTACTGTTATCAATGCTATTTTTGGGTAGCCGCAGTTACTTCAATTCCACTTTGCTCAAACTTTGAAATAGTGATGTTAACCAAGAGATGGACAGCAGCAAAGATTAAAGCAATGCCACAAAAGGATAAAGAAAGGAATTAAAGGATTTTACATTTTTACCTTCAGCTAAACACATTCAAATCAGTTTCTTTGTCAGCTGAGCTAGTAAGCCCCAGAGTGAGAGACTATGAATATTTGGGAAGAAGAGTCCCATTTATAGTTTATTTCAGTATAAAACCTAGACTTTCTAGTGCATGAAACTGTGCTGACTCAAGGCATATCGTTCAAATAAAAGAGAGATAGGACACGCGGTCACCCATACTTCAAAGCTTCTTTGGTATTTGGGAAGGACAAGCATTGCATGAGAATATTTCTTTGCATGGTCAGAGTTAAAATTTGTGGTTGGATCCACTAAGAATTGTCTGTGGAACAACAATTTAGCATTCACTTTACCCAGGGACTAAAGGGCATTTTGATTAAAAAGCGTTTCAGAAAGCAAAGTAACAATACAGAAAAAAGCAGGCTGTTGAAAGAAAAGATAGGTGTAAGAGCTACGGTTAGACACAGCAGCACTACATTGATTTAATAGACTTCAGATTTAGAAGAAAAACAGAATTTCTCTCCCTCTAGATTTCTGTTTCTTCGAAACAAGCTCTTAGTATTGATCTTTGTAGCCATGGCCAGCATGTATCTATGTCTGTGGTTAATGTGTACTATCAGACTGTAGATTCAGAGCATCCTCCACAAGATAAGAGAAAAATAATATGACAATTCTGGTTTAGCTAGTTCTCCCTCTTTCCCACGCATGTTAAAAAGGGATGATACATTCTTCCCTAGTTCTAAGTTTTCTTTCCATTGTTCTAAGATCTTTGCATCACATTTCTGCAGTTGGAGGCTTGAAACAATCTATTATTTATTTGTATTACCAAGGGGACCAGGACTCTATTGTACAAAGGTATTGTACACAAAACACAGAACAAAGACAGCCTTCGCTCCAAAAAGCTTACATTCTAATCATAAGACAAGAGACAGTAGATGAATTTGGACAGATAAGGAAAGTACAAGGAAACAATGAGAGAAACACCCCCCCCGCCAAAAACCCCAAACAAAAAAAACAACAAATCAGGATGAGAAACACGAAGGATGCCAATGTCCTATGACAATTCTTGGCAAGTTTTTCTACAGGTATCATAGCAAAGGAGAGTTTTCAGGAAGCACCCAAAGAATATCAAAATTGCTTTGTGAATAAGGGGTGAATGGGAAAAAAGAATGAAGGTATTTATTTTTAAAAGTCTAATAAGTGGTGTTGGAAACTGTTATCATAGACTGATGTGAGGCAGGAACTGGCCATTCAATGCTGCACATGTCTACACTGCCTGTGTGTCATGCCCCAGAATACCACCAGGAAGCAGGCCTCTGCTACAACGGAACTACCTTACAGAAATGTTGAGCAAATGCCAATAAGCAGATCCAAGACAAACACCATGAGGGCAACTTGAAACAATTTTAAGATAGTTACATTGCCTCAGTTTGGGGAGTTGACTTCCTTATCTAGCCAAGTAAATCAGGAAGAGAGTGGCATTACACCACTAGAATCAACATGAATAGGTCTAAATTAGGTCTAAATATCAATACTTCACACAATTATGGATATACTGATACCAGGAAAAGAGTGCAAAGAGAAAATGTAAGAAACACACCCCCCTAAACACCCTACAGTCTGTTTGAGAAGAGGCATGCCCTCTCTATCATCCTAGCTAAGTACAGACAGACAAAAAGCCCAGAGCTGAGTTGATTCAATCTTTGCAGGTTAGTTTAAGCCGTGTAGATTGAACGGATAAGCAAATGAACAGACATTCACTTTTGATTCCAAAAGTGTAGCACATGGCTGCAGTGGCCCAGGCCAGAACCTGGGGGGTGCTAGAGCATGCCTCTCTGCTCAGGTGGAGCAGAAACTTGGGCCAAGGCTAGCCCACCCACTCTATAAGGAGGGATATGCAGGAGAGGTTCAAAGCATCCTGGGATGCTGGGGGACTGTGAGTTAACTTGAATCTGGAGGGGATATGTGACAGAAGTTCAATAAATCGATTTAATCTAAATCAGTTAGGGTGCAGACAGAAGAAATAAAGCTCACTGCTGTAACTGAGAACATTTTGCAGGAACTATTTTGAGTTGCAATGATCACTTGGAACAAACAGAAGTTCACTGTTGGTTCCAGGGGCAAGGGGAATCTAGTTGTTGGCTGCGAGCCTGAAGCTAGTTTCCTCTAGCAGCAGCCCCTGCTCCCTGTGAGGCTGCAAAGTTTCAGAGTGGGCGTGGGGAAAGGGAGCAGGGGGAGCTCATTCTAGGGGCTTCCCAGCAGATGCTCGAGGGTGGGGTGGGTGAACTGGAGACCCTCCTCATCATGGGGGTGGGGAGGGGGCTCCAATATGCCTGCCACACCTGAAACCCCCCCCAAACCAAACTCCCCCTGCTCCTTTCCCTCCTCCCACTCTGAAAACAGCTTGGAGGCTGGGAGGCAGGCAGACAGAAATTACAGAAGATGCTCTGGTTTGAAATGTCTTCATCTGACCTCTTGTGCAAAGTCAGATTTTCACCTGTATGATCATTTCTGAAGCTGCCTGCAGCCATGCACCTGTGTTTCGTCATGGCTATAGACTGCTTTCTGCATCCAAATTGGGTGAAAATTGTTACTTTTTTCCTGCTCCCTGCAGTCTGATAGTTCATCCATCCAGGTTTATCTTAAACTCATTTCAGCCACTTCGAAAGAAGTTTACACGTTCTGTTGTGTTACAGATTTGACCTGGTTTCCCATCGCCTGTACTGGTTTATGTGTAATTTCTGTCCCTAGTCCCAAAGGTCAGTCATATCCTTCTCTAAAATTAGCAGAACAATGCTATTTACTGCAGTTGCAGACAGGCATTCAAATTCTGTCAGTCTCTTGGCTAATGGAAAAACTCCATCTTCAGCAAAGAAACTGACTCAAGGGAGTTTTGTTTTCTTTACATCACTTCATATGCTTATATAAAAACTCAGTTATGGAGCTTAAAATCTATTTTGTCAAGTTAGGAAATTTACCTATTTACCAGTTGTCATTAACACATTGGGGTGGTGTTCTCTGTA